TAGAACCCTAGTTTCTCTGTGACTTTCTGTCTCTCACACGGTGGTTCCGTGATAACGTCGAGGCAGTGGCCGAAGACCGGCTGCTGAACTCTCTGGGCCAAGCGCCTGTTCTGAAGCCAGCGTCCAGACTGCAGGCAAGATTTAAGGCATTGTAGGGTTTCTATGGATACGAACGGTCAAGGGTTATAGGGTTCATGGAAAAGATCTATTTAGGGTGTAGGCATTACCCCCAGTAATGGAGAATCAAATGGAAAAGATAATGGAACATGAAATGGAAGTGGGTTTATAGGGGTTAGGGTTTCCCAAAATCAAGGGTATCTGTTAGGGGTTCCCCGCCATAGTAAGGATTATAGTATATTGAGTCTATATTCGGAGTCCCCTTATTTATGGAAGCTACCACTGAGGGGACATCTAGCTGGTTGTACCCGAGCTTGACAGGTCATTATGACGATAGGGGCGCGGGCGGTTAGCATTTGCATTGCGTGGGGCATTTGCAGAGAAAGGGGGGCTTGTTGAGAACGGTAGGCCAACTCAGTTGCTGCCATCTCATCTGCAGTGCCGGGCGACAGCGGCGGTGCAAGAGTTCAAAGAGCTGGTGACCTAAGACATGGAACAAAAAATCCGAAGCTAGGCAAGCCCCTTAAAGCCTAGAGACATCTATAGGGAATGATAGATTTCTAGCACTTATCATCCTTGACCCCGAGCCCGTAGATCCAACTCCTTGCCCTCCGTATGGGACCCTCGGGCTACTAAGGGCTTGGGCAAACTACTCATGAGTCGCTACAATAGGGCTCTACATAGGTTCTTGAAGCCATTTAATGTATTACGTAACTGCTGGATCCTCCAAAGCTTGGGTGCCACCATTTGGGTACCTTCCATCATGATTGACCCATAACCCCTAATTCCTTTGGCCTGTGTGGAAAGCATTTTCTATTCATCAACCCAGAAACTTTAAGCCCTTAAATCCCCAAACCCGTAAACCCTAAGCCCCTTGACCTTAATCCCTAAACCCCAAACCCTAATCCCTAAAGCCTAAACCCCAACAACCCTACACCTTAATCCAAAAATCCTAAACCCCAAAACCCTAGACCCGAATCCCTAAACCCTAAACCACCAAAAGCCTAGAGCCTAACCCCAACATCCTAAGCCATTTCTGCAGTCTGAAAGCCTTGGATCCTGAACCATGCGTGCGCTGGGCCTTTCATTCTAAACCTCCTCCGTGACCCATGGAGATAGGGTTTAGGGTTTTTAGGGCTTTAGGGTTTTAGGGTTTGGGGTTTAGGGTTTAGGCTTTTAGGCGTGTAGGGTTTAGGCTTTTATAATTTCAGAGGCTTTCGTTCCAAACCTCTTCTGTGACCCATGGAGACTCCGCAGGGGCCTCCTTTTGGGATGTCTTATAACAAGGGATCCCATGTTTTGCTTGGAAATTCCTATTTGGGTGTGTCGAAACACTCCAACCCACCTTTCTCAGATGTTCTCCTTCCTAGGCTTAATACTAAACCCTCATATGAACTATAGTGTAAACTCCTTCAGGGGGGTATATAGAGGTATATAGAGGAACATATAGGGGGGATAAGGGGGGGATACTAGGAGTTTAGACTATAATCCATATAATCCCCTACATAACCCTTTATTTAGCAGTTTCCATTTCATTTTCCATTTTCTTTTGCATTTGATTCTCCATTATTAAGGGGGATGCTATGAGTTTAGACTATAGCTCATATGCTGCCCAGGTTCCCGTCCAGCAGTTTTTGCCGTCTCAGCTACAGTTTGGCCTTCTGTCCGCAGAAAGTCTTGTGAAGATTGGGCGCGGGGCCATTCGAGCACATGGCCAGAATCAAAATCACATAGTCATTGCGCTACCTTCTTTGCAGAGCCCATCAAGCAAAACCAGCTCTTTTTACTCATTGGTCCGAGGAAGTCGAGGAAATTGTGTGTTGTTTGAAGCCTTTCTACAAAGAGAAGCTTCAAGAACGGAATTCCCAAATCCGACTGCTTCCCTTTCCAGGCCGCGGGCTGTACAAAAGTCCTCCATAGATTAGATAAGCGAGTTTTCCAAAATGAAGGGTACGTTTCTAGGATATTGGGGTCTGTAATTACCGGGCTACCCTTACCTTGGAGAACTATCACATCAGACTTTTCAGTCTCACAATAGCAAGGTCCTTCAGGGATTCTGGGAATGTATGGGGATCAATTGGGTTCATACGGGGGAAGTTGGAGAGACTCCCACAGTCACATGCGAGACGACGCGGGCAGCCATTTCAATTCTTGAAAGAGCTGCCACCCGTAACGAGAGCAAAAGCCTTTATTCCTGACCGAGGGTGGCGAGATTGAAACATAAAGCGATGAGCATCTAGTCGCTAAAAGCGTATGGAGTATTGTGCCCCCCCATGGGTGCAACTGCGCGGTTTCCAAGTGAGTGAAGAGATGTGAAGAGTTTATTCAGGTTTGAACTGCGACGACGCTGTTCATCATAAAGTCATAAAGGGCCACTTCAACATGGAGCAACCCAAAAAGTCAAAAGAGACTGAAGTGATGCAATGCTTTTTTCCCGCCTTCCTTTGAGAGCCCTTGACAATGCAGATTCTTGAGAAGCCCGATTACCGTAAATGTTACTGGTAGCTAGGAACATAAGAACAAGTGTCACACAGAGTGCATAGCTGCAATCCGCTACCCTCTCCTACGTTCACCCTCATGTTGCTATCCTGTGAAGGTACCGGCCCGGCTGGGGGCGCGCCGTCCGTCCCCCATGCGTTTAGGGCGCCAATGGGGCCGCGGCCCGGGGTTGCTTGACATGCATGAGACAGGGAGTGGGTGGTTGTGGTTGTTGCTGTTGTTGTTGTTGTTGTTGTTGTTGTTGTTGGTGGTGGTGGTGGTGGTGGCGGCGGCGGCGGCAGCGGCCTGGGAGTGTTGTTGAAGTTGTGATGCATTGCGTGGTCAATTTGCCGTACAGGGCTTCTGAATTCAGAGTTGCGGTCCGTACCAGCATCATCTTCAAACTCTTTTCCCTGGCTGCTGCAGTTTTTTTGGGTGCCATGTCCTTTTGACTACCTTGATGCACATCTTTCAGCATGCCCAGAGACCTGTCGTGAGTGCTGTTGAGTCGAGGGCCCAATGACCTACGTGCCGTTCGCCATGAGTGGAGCTCCTCCAGGTCATCCATTGATGCATCGGTACGGTGACGCGGCTTGAGTTGTGCAGCATGATCTCAACATTTCCCACATCTCTGCAGTACAGTGGGGCAACTCATAATTTACATGTCTTTTGTTAAACCTTTCGTTTGGGTGCTCTGAGACCTAAATACAGAAAGCGCAGCCTGTCTGTGATGAGTGAAGGGGGTCAGGGGCTCTGTGCAAGGGAGATTGGGCTTGAAAGCGCAAGGGGCGTGCCTCAAAGGCATTCAAGTCATGGCTAGCTCAGCTCATGCGAAGCCCCAAGTATCCCCGTTAATAACCCCTATCATACTCCCATATGGGTAGTTCCCAAAATTAGGGTCCCATTTTGGTATCCATAGATATCAGGTGCCGTAGCATAATGTCTAACCACAAGGGTCCCATGATTTTGAGAACAAGCCATATACAATCCCCGTTTGATCATGGGTTCCACTAGTACCCCCCTCTATACTACCCCCCCAAGTTCCGCCTTCGGCCAAATTAGAATTAATTAAGGGGGAACCTTGGGGGGTAGTGTAGGGGGGCGGTACTGGACAACCCATGAAAGAGTGAGTGGGTTCGGAAGGAGGCTCCCGGCCAAAAACCCCCCGGCAAGGACCGATTCCTGCTGTGGAAAAACCCTTGGCAGAAGCAATCATGGTCGAGACAAGAGCAGCCATCGCGGTCACCATTTCCATTGCTGTTCCTATCATGACTATTACTATTTCTATTACGATTGCTACTACTATCACTATTTCTATTACTATTATTATGTTGCCTGAGTCTGGACGAAGAAAGCACGTTGAAAATCCAGATTCCCAAGAGGTCGGGCTTTCAAACCAAGAGGCAACATCCCTGCCTAGTGGGTCCCAAAAGCACTGCTGTTACAAACGCCCTGCTTTAAACATGCATTTGTGGGGGAGCTTTCCTGGTTGCCGCGTCTGATAGGACTAGGTCATGGCCCGTTGTACAGCTCTGCCAAAGCCCTAAGTGCAGTCTCGCCAGAATCTAGAACTGTAAAGCCTGAAGCCTACTGGGTTGCGCTAAAGCTCAACGCCACAAAATCGAGTAAACCCCAAAAAGGTTTAGGGTCCTAAACCCTAAACCCTAGTCCTAGACCCTAAGCCCTAAGCCAGCCTAAACAACAACAGCCTCAGACTCATGATTTCAAATTTGCTTTTAATTGCGAACCTGTGGTGTGCTTGATATTAAACCCTACATGCACATATGGGGCGGTCCGCGGGTGGATTGTATAAAGGGATGATACGAACAAACTTTCCCGGCCTAAAAATCCGCAAAAATCATGGCTCGCAACTGCAATCACATTAAAAGTCCTACTCCTGCTCGTATTCCTCCTCCTACTCACCTACTTCTGCTCACCTGATTCACTCCTACTCACCTCCTCCTACTTTGTGAGAGCTCGGGCCCAGAGTTTTCATTACGAACCCCAATTCCTGGACCTTTGCTTTCGAGATTGGTTCGACCAGAACTCCGAGGGGGTGTGGGGGGAGGGTGAATCAAAACGAGCTTGCATGAATCTCCATACTCTGGGGTTATATAAGGCTATATTATAACCCTAAACCCCAAACCAGACCCTACATAATGCCAAAATGCATCACACGACTGCGGCCCCTGGCGCAGTGGGCACAGCGAGAGCCGCCGTAGGCGCGGTTCACTCGCTTCTCGCGCTTCTTGAGGCGCTTGTACCTTTTTGGTGGGTTTAGGGTGTTGCGTTTGGGGGGGGGGGGTTTAGAATAAATGGTACTTTCCACAAAGGGGGACCCCAATAGTGACCCCGAGGCCATAGGGTGCAGACGCCCGCACATGCACCAGCATCCTTTTCTCCGCTCATTCTGCCCTCTGCCAGTTGGAGACCTGTCCGAAGGATGCAGGTCCCCCAGGGCTCAGGGATTTGGGATTTAGGGTTTCCCTACATCCTAAACCCTAAACCCTAAAACCCAAACCCTACATAAACCCTCAACCCTATATACCACGGTTTAATGGAAGGAGTAGTACGTACTACGGAACTAAGCCTTAATCACCCCATCAAACGTTGATGAGTTTCACAAAACCCTGGAATCTCCCTCACCTGATGATGCTCGTTCAGAATACTGGGTTTAAGGTTTAGGGTTGAGGTTTGAGGATTTAGGGTAAAAGCATCTTGATAAGTTGTTGCGAAGCCTATTTTCCAAGCCGGGCTGCCCTCAAGCAAAGATTCAAAGGGTTAAGTGTCGCTCAAAAACGTGCCCTGCATATAGAGGACCGCCATAACCCGAGTATAATCCGCATATTACAGTAGGATCCTAGTGTCCCCACGTGTACCCCTTGCTTGAGAAACCCCCCCCAAGCCCAGAAGCCTAAACCCAAAGCGCCGTAACTGTACCCCAATATACCCCTAGTTACCTTATATACCCCTTCATACCCCTATACCCTACATACCCCATATGAGCCATATGAGCTATAGCAGTCTAAACTCCAAGTTAAAAACCTCTAAATTACTCCTCTATATAACCCGCTTTAAGGAGTTTAGTCATTGAACCCTAAACCCTACATAACCCCCCTCTGAGGAGTTAAGACCCTAAACCCAAACCCTAGACCTTGAACCCTATATCACCCAACCATGGCTCGTATACCCTAAACCCTAAACCGATATACCACTACATGAGCTATAGTCTAAACTCCTAGTACACCCCTTAATAACCCCTATAGTACTTCCCTATATAACACCCTTGAATATAGCACACATGAAAATCCGGGGCCTGGCCAGCAAGGTCCAATCCTTCAGGCCCAAGCAACGAGGAAAGCAGCCTCAGGACTTGTACCCTAGAGGGCTTATTCAGGATTTAGGGTTTAGGGTTTAGGGTTTAGGGTTTGGGTTTTAGGTTTTAGGGTTTAGGTTCTCGGGTTTAGGGCTTGGGGGTGTAGGGGTTGGGGGTTTAGGGCCTGCGGGAGTATCGCTTAGTTAGGGCTTCGGGGTTCAGGTTGTTGGAAAATTCCAGGCTTCAAGCTCAAACAATGGGGTTGCTGATCGGGCCTTTGGACCTGGGATTTGTCCCTAGCCCATTCACGGTTGTTGATTACAAGGCTTCGGGTCTAGTGGGGGCCTATGTACAAAAAGGTGCTTCCGGGCAGATTATACTACAGTTGCATGTACTATCGTCTAAACTCCTAGTATCCCCCTCAATAACCCAGATAGTAGTCCCCTATATAATCCCTCATATAAGCCCCATTAAGGAGTTTAGATTATAGCTTATGTAGCAGGGAACAACATGTGTAACGTAGGCGTTGATCTGCAGCTGTCACCTCGCCTCCAGACCCATGCTTTACATCCTAAATCTAGAAGGCCTAGCGCGTCGAGATTTTACAAATAGCCTTTTGGATGTAATCGTCCGTGATCACCGATGTTCTCACTACTTGAAACCTCTTAGCCTCCAAAAATCGCCCTAGAAGCTAAAATTCTGTAAGGTCCTATAGGGACATAGAACCCTATCCCTGGTGCTCCAGATAACACAAGGTAGGTAATGTTTATGGACTTGTTCGACAAATGCAAGCCTTACATCCCCACAAGGCTACAAATCGAGAAGCTCTTTGGCAGAAGCTGGTGACGGGCTCAAAGCCTTGAGCAGAGATGGTGGTCTCACACACTATGGTTAGGGGTCCCTGGACTCGGGGTTCCGGAAATGAATTAAAGGTCCCCGTAATAAGGATTAGTATTTTGAGGTCTATATCAGGGTCCCATTGTTTATGGAAACTACAAGTTTTGTTTTGGCGTAATTTATGTGGAGCTTCCCGGAATTGAGGTTGTTGAGTTCCAGCCTAAGGGGTTCTAGCGTTAAGGGTTTAGGGTTGTTCTAGGGTTGGGCTTGGCAGGTCACAGGTTTTTGTGCTGGGCCGCGTTGCCTGACATGAAATTATCACCGGCCAGCCCTGCAAGACTTGAACAAAGCTACTTCAAATTGTATGTAGGAATGGTTCTACAGGGCATCTTGCGTACGCCCGAGCGTACGCATAAAGAGTCTATCACCAGCCCACGTGATTGAATTGGTACTTCTCAAGAAATCCCTGATATGATCCTGAGTAATTTATGTCTCTCAGGGCAGCCTCGAAGTCCAAACCCCAAACTGCAAGTCTGACACCCGTCCCCGTATCCCACGGTAAAGAAACGCAAGTCCCTGAGGCGCTCGAGCCCGCCTCCTCTCTAAGCCGCAATTCCGTCACTGTGGTGCCACAAAGGCGGCCGTCAAAGGCACCTTGGATTTGCCAATAGGTAGGCTAAGTTTTTGGCAGGCTCAATAGGGTTTAGGTTGCAAGGTTTCAGGTTTAGGCTTTAGGCGTTCATAAATGAGATTTCTGTAAGGATGCATTCCTGCATGGGCTACCGACAAGATGCAGGCAGAGAGTAGGCCCTAAACCCTAAATCCTGAGCCCTAAACCGCACAGTGCCATCACTGCTCAATCTCTGGAACATCTGAGAGGAGTTGCAACCTCCATGCCAGGCCTACTTAATTTTCAGAAAACTCCTCTAAGGACATGAGGAATCTGATCCAGATGCCTTTCTGCTACCTTCTGGGGGTAGGACCCCCCCAAATGCTACATCCTACCTTCAATCAGGCTAATATAGAGCCACATGAAGCTTTTTTTCAAAACCGATTCATCTTTCTAGGGCGTTTCTGGGGTTCCATGAATTTTTGAGGGAGGGAACGTCCCACCCTAAACCCCTAAACCCTTAAACTCTAAACCCTAAACCCTCTGAAGGCAGCCCAGAGTCTGCCTAGATCGCGAAGCAGATTGAGAAGTTCTGCTGGTAGCAGGCCTTGGGGTGTAGGCACATTCCTCAGCTGAAGTCGATCCTTTTTAGTAGGCAGCCACATGAAGATGGTTTACTGGGTTGCTGTTAAGGAACTTAAATTAAGTTACTATATTGGGGAAAACCTATTATTTACTATATATACCCATTATGGTAACTTAATTTAAGTTCCTTAACAGCAACCTAGTTTAAGGGATTCATAGGTGAATTACTTGGCCGTCGTCCATATTGTTTTCGGGCTTCTGCCAAGATGCAAACAAAAATTGAGGAAGAACCATCTCATGAAATCCCCTAGAGGAGCTCCAGGAGTCACAAGGCTTCAATTGCCGTACCCCTGTATTGCAGTTTGGAGTTGAAGGTTTATGGACCCATTGCAAATAATGCAGGTGGCACAGTCTCAGCTCAGCCGAGTGTCACATGCGGAAAAGATGATGGGTCCATCACATCCAGGTCCAGATGTATGTGCAGGACGCCTGTTGGTCCAGCGACTTCCTTGAGGACCTCACATAGGTGGAAAGAGGTTATGCACCAAAAAGAGGGATCAACCGGTTCAAGCTACAAAAGCTTAACTCTGGGAATCCGAGTAGTGACCAAAAAGTTTTAGACACTTCCCAAAATCAAGAGGATCAGAGTAAGAGAACAGCCTCGCAAAGCCCCACCCCCCAAACCCAACACTGAATCTGAGAGACCCTAGACCCAGCGGAAGTCATGCTCAAAACTCCTGAGAAGCTCCATGCCCTTGGGCTGAAAGTTTGCAAACGAAATTAAGTTACCATGATATGGGAATAAAGTGAATAATAGAGTTTCCTGATAAAAGTAACTTATTTCACTGTAACTTCCTTAACAGCAACGAAGAACTTGGGCCCCAAAGTCTACAGACATGATCTTGGGCTATCTGGAGCCCAGGGGCAAGCACCCCTAAGCCCTGAACCCCTAAATTCAGCTAGCTGGCTCTGACGGCCTCTGTCGGGTTGGACTGAAGGTCCTGAGTCGTCAACCTACGAACCTGAGCTGAATGATGAGGGTTTAAGCTTTGGGCCTTAGAGCTTAGGGCTTAAGGGTCAGGACCCTAAACTCCAAATCCTGAACCCCAAACCCTGAACTTTTCAACCCCATTGACCTTTTGTGCCCAGCTTACAGGGGAGTTCTTGGGCCCGGCTTGCAGCAGGAAACCTGATATCAGCTGCTCCCTGAAAAGGGCTTTGTTGGGCTTAAGGTTATTTTTTCTAGCTATCACACCGGGGCTATGCAGGATTTCGGTAACAGTGGTAGTCTCAAAAACCCTACCTATAGGCTCGTAAAAGAGCCCAATAAAACTCACTGGGACCGATAGACCCCAGAAGCTACAACTGCACATCTCTCGCCGATGCCATAAGGACTATGAGCATCTTCATAAATCCTAAAATGCCCGTACAAAGAGCCAGACACGACTCCCCCAAAAAATAGAACTCCCGCTGCGCACTCGGGAATGATAAGGTAATTCTGGTTATCCCAACCCTCTAGATTATGACCCTATTGTAGTCATATGATAGCTATAGGGTCCTCATTGGAGGGGTACCAGAACCTTGTTATTGAACAAGGCGCCTGATGATGCTGGACGTACTGCTCTTCTGCTGGATCCAGGTCCCGCGCGCCTGAAGGTATTCATCGGGGGAGTGGGGGCGGTAACTCTGAAGCCTATAATTATCCTAAGCCCGTAAAACACCAAATCCAGAAACCTAAAAATCCAAAAATACCTAGTCTACAAATCCCTATACCCTATAGAGTACACCCCAAATCCAAAACCCCAACACGCTAAAAGCCTAAGATCTCAAAACCTAAACCCTCCAGGCAGAGATGCTAGGGTAGATTCCTATGGCGCCCTCAACTACGACGGACACCTTGAGGAGGACCCTTTCAAAGGGGGTATACAATTGAACCCACATATTCTCAGAGATTCTGTCATATTAGAAATTTTTTGTGGCGTGGAAATCTAGCTGCCGAGCTGGTCATACAATGGAACACCAGCGCTGTCTATAAGGGCACTTGTGCAGACTACAGGGCATTCCCGTAGATACCGCATGAGCTACCACCAATCCTTAGTTTGGGACTATTTCAGGGACTAATGTAGACCCCTGATTAACGAACCCCCTCCTTTTGATTAATGAGATTCCAAAAGGGATCCTAATATTCAAGGCCCTTAAAAGGAAGGGGTTTATTTATCATGGGTCTACAATATTCTAAACTACAAGAAGAACCCCCAGGTCCACCCTTAAGGACCCTTTTATACGGGCAAAATGGACAGCATCTCACATGGTTTGTCCCTTTCTGACTAGCTGAAACCCTGCCTAGCAGCACCAAGCGCTCTGGCCGCAGCGCCTCTCAAGCTTACTGGTGGTTAGTAGGGTTTTAGGGTTTGGGGTTTTGGGCTTCGGGTTCGGGAAACAAGAGAACATAATTCCCATTTAATACCCATTTATTATGTTACCTGTTTCCCTGCCTCAAGCCCTTTTCCTTATTCCCTACCAACGCCTCGTAAGCTAGAGTGAAGGTAATGCAACAGCTCATGGAAATATTAGGGAAGTTTGAATAAGTGCGTAGGGTTTGAGATAGGGTGAATAGGTAGGTACAGTGGGTAGGTAGGTAGGCAGGCAGGTAGGTAGATAAGTAGGTAGGTAGGCAGGTTGTAGACAGGGTCAATATTATTAATATAACTTCGTAGATATGGCAAACTAAAGGTATTATAAGTTCCCAAAATCTGCATGAGATCCTGTGCCCCCAACCCCTAGAGTCACGGCTTCACCCGTCTCAGCCTGACAGAAAACAGACATGAAATTCCCGAAATCACAAGCGGGATTGCCTTACTTGGATCATCCTGTGTACCCGCTGTTGGGTACTATACATATACCTATCCTGGGGCAATTTCCCGGCCATGTAAACACACGGAAAAGGGCCTCAAACGGCGCTTGTAGGCCACGAGGGCCCTCACCCAAGGCAGCACGAAGGCTCATCCCTGGAAAGAAGCACTGCGGCCAAGATGTGGGGCTGTGGCTCATATAGGAGCCTACTTAATCAATGAGAATAGGGTCTGTGGGAATAGTATTCACCAGCACAGCTTTTGGTGGCCAGTGGCTACTTCCGTTACAGTCTTATGATATCCTTTGTCACAGGACAAGATTGTTGCTACAAGAACAAGTCAGAGGTTAAGCACTGAAGTCACCCACCCTGAACTTGCTGGGGGTTAATAGGGAACAAGGGCATATGTTCTGTAGGGATTATATTCCCGTTTTCCCTACTGACCACCAGTAAATCAACCGTGTGATGCTGTAGCCTTTGAAGCTTAGCCCTGCAAAACAGGTCGGAAGTGCCATGAAAGTGGCCGGAAGGAGACTCGACCTTTCTAGGACCCCTATCAAAAGAGGTTTGCCAGGGTTACTCGGAACGACTGATTCAGCAGAAACCTGGCGAGTGGTAAGCGGGACATTTTCACACAGGGTGCCTTCTTCTCCCTGCGTGGACTGAAAATGTATATCATACCCTATACTAACACCTACATATACCATATAACTTAACCCCTATAGTTTCCATTTTCTGTTCCATTATCCCTATATAACCCCAATATCATACCCTAAGATACTTCCAAGGGCTCCGACTTTTCGGAGTCCCCGCCCCCATGCGTGCGATTTGACCGTCGACTTCCAGATTTCTCTTGGAAGAAGCAGCCTAACTTTTGCCTCCAGTAGATCACTTTGGGTTACCTCAAGATGTACGGATCTCCAGGTAATCCATGTAATTCCCCATGACCTGTGGCATGAAGGCAGACTTTACCAGCAGATCCCAGACTCTTTAGGGTTTAGGGTTTAGGGTTTGATCGCCGGCCTCTTTGTTCAAGTCCCCGTGAGCATCCACGTAGGCGACGCAGAGGTCCTTGCCATACCTGCAGTGGCAAAAGGAAGGTCGGTGGGCATGAGTGCGAAGGTAAGGGTTAAATAGGGATTGTATAAGGTTATGTAGGGCCATGTAGGGACTATATGAGGACTACATGGATTATCCAGGGGTAGAAGGGGATTCTATGAGTAACAACGTATAAACCGCCCACAGGCATTGCTTGCAAACTCTCCTTCTTCTTTGGTGAAAGTCCTTTTTAAGGATTCTAGAGGGGTTCTTTTGGGAAATGCTCATATAAGGCATGTGAAGCATCAGAACAAATCAGGCGTTTGATATTATAGGAGCTGGGACCATAAGTCCAACCCTGAATCCGAACCTCCGAACTCAAGAATCTAAGCCCGGATCCCCAAATAGGAAGCCTCAGACCGTTCTCCTCCTCATCTTGCAAATTTTGCCTTTCAATTGAGAACTCAGTTCTACCTCAATGAGCAAAATTCATTAAGTATCCTGCTTTCTTAAGATATCGAGAGTAGACGTCTACCTTTCTGCAAATGTTACACCAAAAACATTGTTGCTTGACATAGTCTTTAGCTAAGAGCCCCAAACCCTGCACAGCCTCTGAGACAAGTAAGAAATTGGTGTCAGGTCCACAGAGCAGTCGCCGCCGACCGTGAAAACCTCAGGGTCCCGGGTTTGAGATCTCACAAATAGCCCAATATAGGTAATGGTTACAGACATTAGGGCTTCATTTAGGTATTACTTGTATACTTGGATCCATATATAGCCCCTTTATAACCTCAGTTTCCATTTCATTTTCCATGTTCTTTTGCATTTGATTCTCAAGTATAGGTACTATTTGTATATTTGATCCCTGGGGTTTAGGGCGTTCAGAGACTTTCGAAATTGGGAATTGAGACTTGGGTCTTTCATGGTCTATCCCATACTCGTATGTGCGAGAGCACCCTGAATTTGGATGGAGACTTCAAACGAAGACAGCTGAAACATGGGAATTCCCGTACATAATCTGTATAATCCTTAACTGTAGTACACTGTAGAATCCTCATTAGGGACCCGCATAACACCCCTAAACCCTAAGCCCTAAATAACCAAAGCACACTACTCGGGCCCCTAAGGCTCTAAACCCTAAACCCTAAACCCTTAAACCCTAAACCCTAAAGGCCCTTAGGGACCATCATCTTGAACTCCCACAGCACAGCCCAGAGATTGCCTGCGAAGGCCGCTGAGCCCTCAGAAGTTCAGAAGCCGCCGTGCTAACCTGGGTTTAGTAAGGGTTTCGTTTAGGGTTTTAGGGGTTTAGGGTTTAGGGCTTATAATTGGGTTTAGGGTTTAGGGGTTGAGGGTTTAGGATTATGAAGCATGAGTCAGTGATACCTATAGCCATAATGGAAACTATAAAGGGGATGTGGGTTATAACCTGGAGTGTTTTCATACCAAGGATTCCTTTAATAGAGTAATCATTTAGAGGATGGAAAGAAATGGAAACTACAATGCAGTTTAGGGTTTAAGTTTAAGGGTGGTCATCTGCTTCAACTTAATGAGTAAACGAACGAACAAAGAAAACGGCATAGGGATTATGGGGAATATGTGGCAAATCTAGGAACTATACAGGGATATCTTGAGGGAACGGACGAGATCATTCAAGATACCGGTTGTTTGGGATCTGGGGTCTAGCTCAGAAATGCGTGCCAAAATTAAAGAGCGGTGGAAATTCACATGTAGAAGCACACGCGGAACATGAAATGGAAGCTGGGTTCATACAGAGGGTCATAATTGGAGTAGCTGAGAATCAATGAGATGAACACTGGGCTCCATGTGGGGGCTTATAGGGATAGTACGTAGCGGTCAAAAAATTGAAGTAGGTTTTCGGGGTATCTTATATCAGACATGTATAAAGATTCTCAGAGATTCATATTGGAAATCCTGTCTGGCTTCTACAGGAGCTATAGGCTAAACTCCTAGTATCCCTCTTTATAACCCCTATAATGCTCCCCTATATAAAGCCCATATATAACTCCGCCTTAAGGAGTTTAGACCCTAAAGCCTAGACCCTAGTCTGCTATATAACCCTCCTTTAAGGAGTCTAGACTACAACTCACATGAAGCAGGACTTTGGGGACAAATATGCAGGTGCTAGGTTTGAAGCTAGAGATCTTTGCGGCTGAAGTGTGCGCTTAGAGTTAGGGGCTTTTTTACAGGGTAATCTGGCTTTGGATTCCATGTTTGAATACAGTTTACGGTTTAGGGTATAGGGTTTAGGATATAGGGTCTGGGGATGTCTAGGGTATAAGGGTTTAGGTATAGGGGGTAGGTTATAAGGTTTAAGGTTTGGGGATTTGGTGATTTAAGGTCAAAGAGCCTGAGGTCCTGAACGCACGGATTCCCTTCCCCTTAAAATCACCCCTAATGAAGCTTAGGAAGCCCTGGCTATCCTTAATTAATGGTGAACCTGTGGCAGGATAGACAAGGAGGTAGTAGGGGGATCCATGATGAACCCTTACCATTCTGCGGCACGTAAATAAGGACGAGAAGAAACTGCACAAGTGCTCTTTTAAAATGAAGCCCTAAGCCTGGAATTTTCGGTTATGAGCCATAAACCCTAAACCTCAAAACTTAAAGCCTAAACCCTAATCGAATAACTCCCCTGAATATGCAAGATCCGTTAAAGAATGTTAAAGAAGGATTCTCGCACAGGGTGGCCTACTAAACAGCTTATCTCTAGCGAGGTTTGCCTCACCGAAAAGGACATCAGTGTTTATTTGGGAGTTATGATAAGCAACCAAACCCTAAAACCTAAACTCTGCACCCTTAACCCCTACACCCTGACCCCAAGGCCTGAACCTGAACCTGAAGCCCTAAAAGCCCTCAATCCTAAATTTTTCAAGCCCTCTACAGTCCCTATGATAACCCTATGACGACCCTGTAAAATCCCTATGTAGCCCAATAAAATCCAATAACCCTCTACATTATGTATATAAATATGTATATATATATATGTATACAGAGAGAGAGAGAGAGAGAGAGATATATATATATATATACATATATCTTTGATGTATAACCCCATAAAAGCCTATCTAGCCCTATATAAGAACCATCTTCACTCCTCCCACTATATAAGCCCAGTGTCTATCTTATTTCCCGTTGTCGTTTCCGCTTGATGCTCCATTATAGTCGGGCATATATCCCTAAACCTGAAACCCTAATCCCTGAACCCTGAGCCCTGACCCCTGAATCCTAATCCCTAAACCCTAACCCCTGAAGCCTAACTAGATCTAAACTATAATCCCTAAACCCTAAACCCCAAACCCTAACCCCTGCACCCCAAAACCTATACCCCAAACCCTGTACCCTAAAACCTATACCCTAATCCCTAGTCCCTAAAACCTAGGAATCCTCCGTTTGATGCAGGCCGAGGATCCTTTCCAAGGCTCTGCCGAAACTTCACGGCCTCCGCGGCCTCCCCGTCCTTTCCATTTGGGGGTTCGGGTTTAGGGTACAGGGTTTAGGGTATAGGGTTTAGGGTATAGGGTACAGGGTTTAGGGTATACGGTTTAGGGTTTGGGGTTTCGGATTTAGGGCTTAGGGTACAGGGTTTAGGGTATGGGTTACAGGGTTTAGGGTACAGGGTTTAAGGTTAAGGGTACAGGGTGTAGGGTATAGGGTTTAGGGTATAGAGTTTAGGGTACAGGGTTTGGGGTTTAGGGTACAGGGTTTAGGGTTTAGGGTTTGGGGTTTAGGGTGCAGGGTTTGGGGTTTAGGGTTTGGGGGTTAATGTTTGGGTTTGAGGG